AGAGAGAGAGAGGGAGGGAGAGGGAGAATGAGAGAGAGAGAGAGAGAGAGAGAGAGAGAGAGAGAGAGAGAGAGAGAGATGTATGTATGTATGTATGTACGTATGTACGTATGTACATAATAATATGTATGTCAGTATAATTGTACGTGCATGTATACACTGTACACGCTTACGAAGACATGTTTGTACTTCCGTACATATATTGTACATGTATGTGTCTACGTACGTAAAGATCTATGTCTGTCTATCTTCCCGCCTGCCTGTCTGTCTGTCTGTCTGTCTGTCTGTCTGTCTGTCTGTCTGTCTGTCTGTCTGTCTGTCTGTCTGTCTGTCTGTCTGTCTGTCTGAAGGGCTATATGTCTGTCTGCTTGCCTGTCTGTCTATCCTTCTGTCTTTTTTTCTGTCTGCCTGTCTATCTGTCTGCCCGTGGGTGGTTGGTGGATGCTCTGGTGTGGTTTGCTCCTTCTTTCCTATGAAACATCTATCGTCTTTATCTCCTCTCCTTTTTATTTTGTGTTTGTTACTCCCTTGAAACACCTCTAATCTTCGGCACTTATATGACCTAATTGTGTTGCAAGTGCTTTAAAACTCTTACGAAAAATATATATATGCAAGGGCTCTCGTGGCCTAGAGGTTGAGGTGTTGGCCTCTCATTCAAAGGTCCCGGGTTCGAATCCGGGTAGGGACCGAAAAAAATTCTTCTCTAAATTTGTCTCCTGTCACCTCCTTTCCTGCTCTCTAGCAATGTTCTGTCGTCTGCTTTCGTCTCCTCTTTCTGCCCCGACTCCCTCATCTCATTTGCCCCCCTCCTCTGGGCTCCTGATTCTTTCTACAGCCTTTCTACTGCTACTTTTTGGCTTCTTCTTACAGCTGTCTTTCAGCCACACACCTGATCTTCTGGTAGGAAAGATCTACACCTAGCCTTCTCGGACAAGGGCGAAAAATCTCGGAGGGCCCGTGTTATAGTTGCGCACGTTAAAGATCATGTGGTGGTCTAAAATCGAAAAGAGTAGGCTTCGGCCGCCACCCGGGCAAAAATCAAAATTACCAACTGAAAAAGTTTAATGTGTCCCGCGCGCTCATATGACCTTATGCAGTTGCAAGCCGCCAAACACTTACTAAAACAAAAAGAAGATAATATAATAATATATATAAATGCAGTGAGGTGCAAAAAAAAACTCGAATTTTTTATGTTGTTGTAATTGCCCAATGCTGAGTTCATAGTCGTGTGATGTGAACTCATATCACTCAACACTTGCCTCGAGCGTCTTGATTGGGCATTTTTGAGCGTCGCAAAGATGCCATTGGCTGCGTAAGCAATATACAACTCACGACTCATCACTCACCACTGGGACACACTCGCAACTTTTTGTCAGTGGTGAGTTTATGCTCACTCAGTCCTGGGCGTATGCCTGTAAAATCTGCGCCTCGAAATGTTGCATTCATATCCAAAGAGACGAGCTACAGACATGCCAAGGTTGTCAAGGGAAAACAGAGAAAGAGCTGTCGGACGACTGGCGGCCGGTGAGTTGATGGAACAGGTGTCCCAGGTTTTTGGTGTCCACTCAAGCACCATTCATCACACTCGGAACCGATTACAAGCGACAGCGACCACAGCAGATCGACCAAGAAGCGGAAGACCAAGGGGGACAACCCCGGCCCATGATCGTGTCATCGTTCGTCGGCACCGTTTCGATCCGTTTCTGCCGGCTGCAGAGACTGCCAGAACAAACATGGGAACGACTGGAAGCCAACTTAACTGCTAGACTGTGTCACGGAGGTTAACGACTGCTGGTCTTCACTGCAGGTGTCTTTATCAGGGAGCTGTCCTAACACCAAGGCATCCACAGAAACGGCTACAGTGGGTGCAGGTGCATGTCAACTGGCGGAACACACAGTGGATGAGAGTCCTCTTCAGTGATGAAAGCAGGTTCTGCGTCGATCCAGCGAATGGCCATGTCCGTGTGTGGCGAAGAGACACGACTCGCTATGACGACAACAACATTCTGGAGCGTGACCCCTGGGGAGGCGAGAGCGAGATGATATGGGGAGCCATGGCGTTGAATCATAGAGTGGGACCTGTCATCTTCCAGAACATTGGTCCAGAACGTGGAAACGGCGTCACGGCTCAGCGCTACATTGCACAAGTCTTAGCACCTCATGTGGTGCCCTTTCTACAGAGGCACCCTAACTTCCGGTATCAACAAGACAACGCACGACCACATACCGCACGTGCTACATGGAACTTCTTGGCGCAGAACAATGTCAATTTATTGGCACACCCACCTCTCTCACCTGACTTGAACCCTATTGAACATTTGTACGACGTGTTCCAAAGACAGCTTACCCAGACGCAGCCACGGCCTCGAATAGCAGCCCAGTTGACAGCAGCCATCATCCAGATCTTCGGTGGCATCCAAAATGGCCAGATCAACCGTTTGATTAACTCTATGAACAGAAGATGCCTCACTGTAATCGCTGCACGTGGAGGCCATTTGCGTTACAAAGTTTGAACACCAAAGTCAAGGTCAACGTGAGCTCAGATGAATATGTTGGACCCTCAGTTCATGTCAGCTATGTCACTCAAGAAGTGTGCAAAGTTTCAGCTAATAAACACAACAAATAACTTGAAACCTATGTGTTGCATTTTGCCAATCATTGTGTTGTGATAAAAATTCGCGGTTTTTTTGCACCTCAGTATATATATATATATATATTCATTGTGTTGTGATAAAAATTCGCGGTTTTTTTG